TTATTTAAGCTCCACTGTCACGTACTCAAAATCCAGATTTATTTCTAAAACATTACATCCGACGTATCTAAATTCTGTATCCACGATGCTACTCAACAGCAATCCCGACTGGACAGTGTGACTTTGTGAGAAGCGTTCATGTACACGAATTCACTAGGTCTTAATTTACTTGCCCAATGACTGCGTATCAGTATTTCCCAGAATTTACGGAGTAATTCTAACGATATTATACTATTGGCTACACTTTGTGATAGTTTGAATTCTTAGCCTTTAACCAGTAACTTCAAGGTTTGAACCCCTAAGTGTTTAATTCGTTCTGTGCCGTTGGATTCACTACCAAATAGCTAACTTTCCATCATTAATTTCTATCCATTCGTTAACATCGTTCAGATCGAGAAAAACCAAACAGTTTCAAGCAGGATATTCAAAAGAATGATGAGTTGAATACTGATTCCGTGAAGCAACAAAATAAAATGATCCAGATATTAATGAATGAAACTATTCTACAAAAGCCATCATCATCGTTAACACCACGTAACACTGGATGCTCATCACTGATAGACAATGAAAATATTATACAATATCCAGATGTCTTTCCTTTTGGATCTCGTCTTTTATTATTTCGTACATGTCGTAGTTTACTGTGTATATGTGCCAAGGACAATAGATGGGTCTGCACAGATCACTGCCCACCATGTGAACAATCTGTGGAATCTATTGAGAATTTAAGACATATATTACTCCCGCCAAGAGATAAATGCTGTGAACGATGTAAGTAGAATCATATTTTATACTTTATTATTAGTGTGTACAAACAATACTAATGTGATAATTAATTGTTTAGGGTTACACTACCGTCCTGAACCTTGAACCTAAAAGTTTAATAATTCGATTGTTCAATTATAAGCTGTCTGATGGTTAAGTGTCATTATCAAGGTTTGACGCATAATTTCAAATAAACTAAGCATTGGGTAAATTGTTATTAATAAAACTAATACGTGATATCCCAACGGGTATGAAAATTTAATTTTTCTGACGTTTCGTGTTTCGGATGATCTAGAGGACTTTGAAATTAATCGATGAATTCCGCAAATAGACCACTGCATAACAGACAGTTTGGTTCCCTGTAACACCTGGAAATAGGTCAAAGGGGGTAACCCTTGAAGTGTAACAACTTCTTTCAGAGAAATAAATTGTTAGCATTGTAGTGAACGAGAATACAAGTGGGACAATCGAGTGTATTTGAATATAAAATTACAGAACAGCTTAATACAATATGAGAACCATACAGTAAATACTTCCATTTGCAAAATATCAATCAATCGTCTCAGATTTGATTGTTCCTTCGTTTCCATATCAATCATTCTCTGTTCTCGTTCTCTTTTGTTTAATCTTTTTAACCTTCTGCCGCCAGGCATTTCACTTGCGTTTGATGATACATACTGCTTATATCTGTCGAATTCAGTGGCACACACCACAGTATCACTTAGAATGGACGGAAATTTGACTTAGTTAAATACAAGGAAGTGGTGTTGTGATACACTCTGAACAATCCTCAACAATAATAAAATTATGGAAGGAGCTCAGATCAAAACATGACAACAATCCATAAAATCAGTGACTTCACATTCGTATCGTGTCGAGTAAATCAACACTGATTATCGAGATGTTATGAATTAATAGTTGAAAATCTTAGTAACATAACTGAAGATTGATGATAATGGGACTGACACCACAGACTTTGTAAGCCCTGAACATATTAATACTCTACATCTACCTGTTTAGCTTATATATACTTTCCTGCTTACTGATTCATATCTTTTTCAGAACAGTTACAGTGATAATCAAAACCAATGCACCTATCACGTTGAAATTTTTTTCCTGTACTATGTAACGTCACAGACAATTAAGAGCTATTTCAGAAATCTAAAACTGTTGAGAAGGCATACATGATTAATTATAAAACCAAACACATGACCATTAATTTGTAAGAGGACCATCTTAAGCTTATGAATTAAAAATAGGCAGCGATTGACATTGTACTACTAAATCGTAAGACATGGTGAAAAATCACCAAAAAGTAGTAAGTTCACATCTACTACCGATTACCTTATTTAATGTTTTAAATAATTATAATGTAATCTTCCCAGTACGAAATAGACAACTAGATAAAGTGCTCTTGTGTTTCTATCTTTTGAAAACAATTTGAAAAACTGCCAAGGATGACTCTCCGTCAAATACCGTGTTACTTTAAAGAAACTCAACTGTAGTTATCTGGAGATGCATAGTTACTGCGTAACATTTCATAGGAAATTATTGAAAAACAGACAGTTATATGAATGATTTACCACGTGGCTCATGTCTGAATTCATTCCTAAAACCTTTAATAAATTCTTGTTGGTGCAAATGATTGATATGTGTATGAGAAAGAGAGAAGTTAGCTAAGTCGACCAATTAACAAACGTTATACATCGGCAAACTGAAACAGTCAACTATCTATAGAAGAGAATAGCAAATAAGAATTAAGCAAACTATGAATTAGTAATTGTATATACAATTATAAATTCCAATTAAATGCATATATAGTTTTAAAAAATAATGTTTCTCTTATTTCATTTAAACCACTGATAAAATGATGATATTGCAACAAGTAGATATGGATATATTTTGTGTACGCATCCAAAATTTCAATTCTCATTCTTCATTAGAAGGATTGTTGCACTAAAACAAAATAAAATATAATCAAAATAAAAAGTGTTTGCTTACTAATAATAATTCACTCAAAAATATATATTAATGATTCATCAGTTTAGTACATATTTGGATTTTGTATATGCAGGTGAATGTTATACTTATTCACTTAAAATCAGAGAAAAATAAGCAAGTTTACTTATCACATAAATACACTCAAGAAATTAAGACTACTATGCCTTCAGCCATATTGTTACTGTATTTGTTGGTCAGTCAGTCATCTACAACGTAGGACCAGGCACATTATATACATTGATCTAAATTGCCATACTTCATTAGCACAACAAGATGAACACCGAGTTTACAAAAGTAGTTACTTCAATAGTAGTAATATATTTAAAAAGAGATTGCATATAAGGATATGATATAGGGAGAAGGAATTAGTTCGTAGAAAGAAAGGTATAAAACTATCTTAATCTCACGGTTTAAGGGGAGACAGTGAGTGTATACACTTGATTCTGAGCCTTGTCACCCAGAGTTTCCAACTGTACTTTATTTGTACTTAATTCAAGTAACTTCAGCAGGGAAAAAAGGACTAGGATTCATCAATATTCTATGAACATTTATAAAAATGAACTTTACAAGCTACATTATTATAAACAAATAATTTTGTATATGAACCTTATTCTTATAAGGGACAAACAAGCAAATACTACGAGTATTCACATAAAAATTAATCAAACAAAAGATTGTTTGAATAACAAATACAAAAAACAAGCATTACAAAATAATTTTACTACTATTTCATTTATCAGGTCAAGATATATGTAATTGGCTTCGAGCCACATTTTAAGTGAAAGGGTTAATATTACCCAATTGCCTAGACCGAAGCAGATGGAGCGGAGTTCGAATAAGCAACATAGGGACTGAAAATCAAGCGATTTAACTACTGAGTCACAGTATCCACTAGCAAATTATCTCCAGAATAATCCAGTCTAGCTTCTTTATTTACTTTCGCAACTACAAGAAAATTATTTAACAATCCTACTTTTTTTAATTCCTTTAAATTTTTATTTAGGCAATGAAAAGACAAATACCATACACATAACTAAGCAACTAAGTCAGAATGAGTTAAAAAGTCAGGAAAAGATTTTTATTCAAGCAAATAATCAAACAAGTCCTCACTATTTAAACAATGAACAAGCAAATATTTCTACAGAAATGAGACTTAAATTAACACTGAAAATGTATATTTTAATATTTAGCATAATATTAATTTGTATATTTGGATTACCAATTTCTATCTTAATTGGATGTTATTTAATGAAAAGTCGGTATGATCATCGTCATCGCCATCAATATAAACGCAAAAGCGATTACCATCAGTATACTACGACTACTACTGCACCGAAAACAACACGGTCAAGATATCGTCGCTATTACCAACGGTGTTATTCACGTGTTAAACCTTTTCTAGTAAAACCACTACATGATTATAACAAGGATCAATCGGAATTAGAAGCATCAATAAAATCACCTATTTCAGTATCAACGTCGTCATCATCGTCATCAGTGTCACCATCCTCTTCACCAGTTTTAATATTAAAAGAATCTTATAAAACAAATAATCGAGCGAATTATAACTTGACATCAATGCCATCCACAACAAAAATAACAAAAGTATCAGAAAATGAATGTAATTCCAAATCTATACATCATCGTTATCGTCAGCATCATCACCATTATATTCAACATTTGAAAGCAAACAAACGAGAGAACACTATCATCAACAATGATGATATAAAGTTAATTCAACCGTCATCAACAATATCCAACACTAAATTAAATGAACTTGTTAATTCAAATGATCATCATCATAATACTGTTAATTATGAAAATCAAAATAGTAAAAGTTATAGTCCTATTAAAAAATTTAATGATTATATACTTCCAACAATGAATACAACTGTAGCAAAAATTACTAATTCACCTGTAATTATTAGATTGAAATCATTGAATGAAACAAATTATACATTGAAAAAACAACAAAATCAGTCAACTTTAATTAAATCACTTTCTATAAATGATGATAGTAACAATTGTAATATTAATAATGTTGAAGATCATCAAATAATTGAAAGTAAACATATAAAAGATACAATTCTACAACAATATGACAACAATAAAAGAAATAATATTAAAACAATAAAAGAAATAACAACATCTAGTTCACAAGATAAAACAAACTGTAAATCAATAAATCAACAAAAAAGTTCAAAAGAAATTTTATTAAAAAATTTAATATTATCAATGGATACTAATTATCATCACCAAAATAATAACAATAACAATAAACATATTACTTATAACAATGATAATAATAATAATAATAATAGTCAATGTATATCACATATAAAAAGTGAACCATCTACACCAAATATTTTTATGCATAATGTAACATTTAATTCGTATTATTCTACTACATGTTCATCGCCTTGTTGTTCACCTAGTCCAATAACAGTAAATGATTATAACAGTTCACAAGATAAGACTACAATAACAAATGTTTTAACTATGAATAATAAACACATGAATTCAATTGATAAACAACAAAATAAATTAAACCAATTGGAGAATGATGATAAAAAAGAGGTAATAATCATGCGAGAAAACATGACATCATCACAAATAATCGATAATCAGTTGAATAATCAATATGAGTCTGATACGATCAAAATGAAACACGAATACAATCAGAATAATGCACCGAGAACAATTGAAAATATAATAAAACAACAAATAGAGAACTCGAATCACCAGCATCATCAAATAATATGTGATGAAAAAAGTTTAAATAATGAAATATGTTGTACTACTAATAATAATAATGACAATAATAATAATAATAATAGTGATAATAATAATGACGATATTTTATTGACACATTTACTAACTGAATCGAATGAAAACATACCATTGTACACTTGTTATTATCAACAATGTAATAACACTAACACTACTGAACAGTTTTACAATATTCCTAAAAAGCAGAACACTTGGTCAAATGGCAATAGTAACAGTGATAGTCATGGACTAGTCACATGGCCAACTATACAGCATTTCACATCTCATCCTATTCTACACAGATAAATACACATACTTATATATTTAAAATTCAAAATGTAGGTAACAGTACACTCATCATTACTTTCATCATTTCTACATTACACACTTATTGTTACTATTATTATTATCAGCATATCATCATCTCCAGTAATAATATCAAAATTTAATTAATAACCAAGCAGTTAAAACTACTCATTCACACACATTACAGCTTTGTCTACACTTCTATCAACTTTTATTCTGTTTAGATTTGTTTTTCTCCGATGTTGTTTTTTCTTTTACACATACAGAAAGAAAACGAAAGACAAAGATTGGACCGTAAAAAAACACATGTCCTAATGAATAAAAGCGTTAAGATCATTACCATATTTTTTTACGTCTTCCAGATGGGATTTTTATTGCATAACTCATAAAATCTCTTATTCTGTTAGCAATTTTCTAAGCAAATTAGCTAGCCTAATAATTATCAGCATCGTAAGAATATTTTACACATATAACGGAGAGAAAGTAGAGAGATGTAATGTACGGTACAGTTAGAATAAACTATAAATGGTGCGGTAGAGTTAGAGATAGTTACCGCGGATTGATAACATACGTAAAATAACTAATACGGCACATTATCACAAAAAGATTGTCGAAAAAGATATTAATTTCCGAAAAATAAACATGAACCTGAGGAAATTTTAAAATTTAGTACTGCACAACAAAGGTCAACCAAACATGCTAAACAATTTACCTGATCATAATAAGCTTGAACACGTTCACACCACAACTCCCAGTAATGTAACAAGTTAGTTTCGTTTAAAACAAACCGAGCAGCTGGATAACCATCACCATAAGAATACACCAGCATTCCTTTTTTGACCTAAGTTAGATTAAAAATACATTGTCACCTATTTTGAAATAACAATGAATTAGATGCTAAGAAACGCGGTTAAAAATCATAAGCATATTTTTAGATGGATATATGGTGGATGAGCTTCGCAGAAACATATAGAGCCAATAAAATAATCTTAAGTATACGGGAAGTTCCATCGTTTTCATAACTGGATTGATTTAACTAAGTTTTAAGAGCTGTATGTAAATATCATGTAAGTTGTAAACCAATGTGCGATTGTAGTACACTAAACACTAAGTAATTACAACCATTACATCACGAGATCAGACGTTGACTTATTTAACAACCAGATCTCTCCATTGTTTTGTAACAAACAACAAATTCGTCACTTGTTTTGCTAGCATTGCCTCCGTGTATGGTCTTAAACTATTTGCATTTCTAGATTGCGCAGATTAACAAGTCTTTATGTTCAAAGTCAAAAGTGAAGTTACGTGCATCAAGTTAAGAATTAAGTTTTTCCTTAAACAATTATTTCGACTGTTAAGCAGTTCAGCCTTAAGCAGCTTAAGATAACTAGACGAACCCTTTGTTTTAATTTTACTCGTCAACACCTACAAGAAAGAAATGCCAGTCATAAAAACAGTTATGCCTTTACACAGTAAATTGAATAAAAATAGGAAAAGCAAGTAATCAAGAGTATGTAGATTAACGTGTTAGTGGAAATCTCAAAGTCTAGTGTTACATTTATTCTACATACAAAACAATACATCTATACCTTAAATGCTTACAACTGAGTAGTTTTGAGAACAGAAAACAGAAAAAACATCATATGACATGACACACTGAAGCGAAATTGAAATAAGTCCCACGTTGCGAATTCGTCATGAAACAAGACATTAGCGTAGATAATAAACTATTGAGACACATAACACTGTAATGCAAGTAAGATGACATTATAATTTGCAATTAACAAGTGTGAAACTAATAAGAATTAAATAATAACTGACACTTATCGTTCACAATACTAAGAACTCAGATAATTGGTGCAGAAAATAGGTGATGCTTTTGTTTTTAGACAGTGACACGAACTAAGTTCTTTGATATGTAACATACTTCAAAATGATGAGATAGCAACATTCGCACACGCTGAGTGTAAACTATGAACCCATACCATCTTCCCATGTGCATCTTGAAACGTGAATATTGGCAAAGTTGGTCAATTTACGTACACTCATATAGAAGTGATCCACATATAGAATACGTGAGACCAGATTTGGAACAGAGTTTACTTTGTCAAGTCGTTTACCACCCGACCGAAGCTGCTACCTTGACGCGGTGGTCAGGCTTGCCTATCGTGATGACCCAACCGAGCTATACTGGCTGGAACATATGTTCCTGTAGGTTCTACCATGCCAGGCAGGTCGATTGGAGAACGGTAAGAATAAAAGCAGCAACTCAAGGTCTGAGGGCGAAGTTGTACTGCTGACTGTAGAGGGGTGTAACAGCAGCAAGGTGTTTCCCTCGGACAACCAGCATCTGCAGCGATGCTGCCTTCCCACAAGGAGGGGTGGGGTTAGAAAAAGTCGACCCTAAAAATGTCACACCTCACCTTACCTCACGGATTTCCGTCTCCGGCGGTAAGGCCCCTTGAAGAACGGAGCTAACATAGTAAAAACCTCCCACGAAAAGGCCGTGCGCGACCGCCCTCTTGGGCTCTGCGGTCACGCTCCCAGGTCGTCAAGACAAACACTAATCCAATTTCCTTTTCAGGTTCCTCAAGAAATACCCTTCCACGGTGTGGGCAGCCGGGAAGTGATATCAGCCCTCATACTCCTAACAGCACACGAGACCAAGTTGGTCACATTCAAATCCTTCTTACGCCTCCTAAAACCTCTCTTATCTCCATGACTAACCCTCCTCACGTCTCACCTCGCACCGCTAAGGCAAACGATTCGAGTACGTGGAACGCTATTCCTGGTCTCCTGAAACCACGCTCTAAACTACACGTAGGGGCTTTTAACGTACGAACACTGTGCCAAATAGGACAGCAGGCTTCCTTAGCTAGGACTTTAGAATCTCGCGCCATCGATGTGTGCTGCGTCTCCGAAACGCGCATACAGGATCCGAGTAGCGTCATTCATTTGACCTCACCATGCCAAAATAAAGAACCGACTCGATTTACGCTTCATGTATCTGGAAGCCCTGATTCTGCTTCCCGTGGCCTCGCCGGCGTAGGTATAGCATTGAGTCCTAGGGCAGAACTAGCTCTCATAGAGTGGAACCCAGTAGACAGTCGTTTGTGCGCTGTCCGACTGAACGGAACAGTAAGGATCCGGAAAGATAGGGAAACTTGTCGTTGCCTCTTTGTCGTCTCTGCCTATTCTCCCACTGACTGCAGCTCACATGATGTAAAAGATGAGTTTTACAGAAAGCTTTCCGACCTTCTCCGAAAAGCTAGGCGCTCTGATGTAGTAATAGCGGCCGGTGACTTTAATGCTCAAGTAGGTAAACTAAGCGATAGGGAAAGACACCTAGGTGGATCTTATGGTGTCGTGGCTCAAAGAACAGATAATGGCGACCGTCTGTTGCAGCTATGCTCAGATAACCGCCTGTTCCTTGCAAACACTAACTTTAAGCATAAGGAAAAACATCTTTTAACATGGGTACCCCCTAATTCGTCCTAACGTTGGACCCAAATAGATCACATAGCTATCAGCCACCGATGGAGGGGCTCGATAGAAGACTGTCGCTCATTCTGGAGCACATGCTTAGATTCAGATCATGCTCTAGTGCGAGCGCGTATTTGCCTGCGTCTTACTGGACGTAGGAAAGACGCTCCAAGGAAACCTCTTAGGATCCTACTTAATGATAGTCAAGCTAAGAGTATATTTCAGGAACAACTAGGAAAACAGGTAGGCAGCCATGTATGTGATGCCCACCCCGAGGCAGCATGGAACGATATCCGAAAAGCTGTGGAAACAGCAGTGATATCTGCTAGTAAGGTAAACTGTAAAGTTAGGGAGAAACACTGGATCTCAGCAGCATCTATCGCACTGATAGATGCTCGGAAACTCATTCCACCTGACTCTGAACATAATGAAGAGCGGAGTCAGCTCAAGCGCAAGCTGACAAGAAGTCTACGCAATGATCGCGAACAGTGGTGGGTAGCGAAAGCAAGAGAGATGGAAAAGGCAGCGGCAATAGGTAATAGCAGACAATTGTTCAGACTCGTTAAGGAAACCGGAATTAGGAACCCGACCGTTAGCGAAACAATCTCAGAGAAAGATGGACATATTATTCATTCTCAATCCAGGAGATTGGATCGATGGGCAGAACACTTTAGGGATCAGTTCAACTGGCCTTCAGACACACTTCGGTTTCCCACGATCTCTAGTCAACCTGAATGGCAAGTTAATGTAGATCCTCCGTCCCTTTACGAAGTTGAAAAACCCATAAGAAATCTGAAACGAGAGAGAGCAGCAGGCCCTGACAGGTTTACTCCTGAGATTTTTAAGGATGTTGGTCCAGTATTAGCAATGAGATTAACCGAGGTCTTAGGTAGAAAATAGGAACTGGATGCAATCCCATCTGACTGGTCCCAATCACTGATTGTGCCAGTCTGTAAGAAAGGACAAAAGTCCTCTTGTGACAATCACAGAGGAATCACTTTGACAAATATAGTGTCTACAATATTAGTTTCAACAATACTTCGACGCCTAACCAGAGCTCGTGAAGAACAGACTAGAGAAAATCAGGCTGGTTTTCGACCTGGACGTGGTTGTATAGACCAGATATTCACACTACGTCAGGTTCTAGAACACAGACACACGTTCAGACGCCCCACAATGGTAGTATTTCTCGACCGTAAGGCAGCATTCGACTGTGTTGATCGTGAGGTTCTATGGCAGTGTTTGTCACTGAAAGGAGTACCAAAGAAGTACATTAACCTTATAAAGGCTCTCTACTCGAACACAACTGGTCGAGTGAGAGCTTATGGCGAACTGTCATCAGAATTGATTACCTCAAGTGGTGTTCGTCAGGGCTGTCCACTCTCTCCATTCTTGTTCAACTTTGTCGTCGACGTACTTTTAGAGATAACACTTTCCTCGTCTAGATTTCCAGAGGTTGAACTTCTACCGGGAGGTTCACTTGTTGACTTAGAATATGCTGATGACATAGTTTTATTTGGTGAAGACGCTGACAAAATGCAGAGTCTTCTGACCACTCTAAGCAACAATGCAAGCATGTTCGGGATGCGATTCTCTCCCTCGAAATGCAAAATGTTGCTTCAGGACTGGGTTACATCGACACCCGAACTAGTGATAGGGAGTGAAGTAGTTGAGTGTATCGACCGCTTCACTTATCTTGGAAGTCTCATCAGCCCTTGTGGTCTGGTGTGTGACGAAATCTCAGCACGGATACAGAAGGCTCGACTAGCTTTTGCCAACTTGCGTCATTTATGGCGTAGGCGAGATATCCGTCTATCAACCAAAGGACGTGTTTACTACGCAGCAGTTCGTTCCGTCCTACTTTATGGCAGTGAAATATGGCCGGTAAGAGTAGAGGATATTCATAGGCTACTAGTATTCGATCATAGGTGTCTTCGAAACATTGCTCGTATATCCTGGGACCATCGAGTAAGTAATGCAGTTGCTAGGAAACGGGTACTAGGAAAGGATAGCAAATCAATTGATGAAGTGATGAAACTTCATCAGTTGAGATGGCTGGGACACGTGTTACGTATGCCCAACCACCGACTGTCTCGACGTGCTATGTTCAGTGGTATAGGAGTAGGTTGGAAGAAAGCTAGGGGTGGCCAGACCAAAACATGGCACAAGCTCATGAAGTCACTGACAAGTGGACTGAGTCATGTTGGTAGGTGTAGACTACCTGGTTGGGGACCGCGAGATGAAAGCAACCAATGGTTAGAGACCTTGAATGACATGGCTCAAAATCGTTTGCAATGGCGCAGGTGCATCCACTCATTGTGTTCTCCCAAATTCTAATCTTCTGATTTCTTCATTTCCCTTTCTTTTTTCTCTTTCCAAACTTATTTCACTGGATTATAGTCCTTGAATAACATCTTCAAACCCTAATTTTCCTGATTACAGCTTATAATCTTACTACATTTAGCACTACGGGATTTGAATCGACCACTGCATCTCTGTGCTAATGTGGTGTGACAACTGATGTACGTACGTACGAAGTTCTACGTTGGTACTGACTGACTGAGTCGTTTACCATTAACTTGAGCCGTGTAAAAAGGCACACACGTTTACGTAATGGCCCACAAATTAATCGTAACAAACGGTTGGATTTAATTATTAGTTGACTTCCTAATTCATGAATATTGTATCACTGCATACTTTTCATTCCTTAAATTTCACAGATCTTATTTCTCTCCTATAGTTTTCCACTACGACTGAGACTTTTTTATTTCTTGCTTTGCCTTTTGTTTATTTTTTCACTCCGTTTAAGTGAAGCGTGACAACTTGGATTGACGCATTCATTTAGATCTGTTCGTTTAAAAAATACGTAATTACTACGAAAATTCAACAGCTCTCTAAATAAAAGGGAATTTGAATAAAACCAAAACCTGTTATGTTATTTACAGCCAGCAGTGTGCTTTCAGTAGCAAAAATTCTAGAAAATGTAAACTTACAGGCAAAGATTCAGGATAACGAGTAAAGTTATAAGCTCCAATATACGCGGCAACTTGTAATGGACTATCATAAGCCTGCTCAATAGTCAATATTCTTTTGGATTCGTGTACTGTTTTCCATTCAGTCAAAATAGGTTCGTTTATATCTCTAAGTTTTGGTCAAGAAATAATGCTTCGTTGGATAAATGGAACAAACGAACTGATAGTTGAATAAAATGATTTATACTCGGTTGCCTACCCTTTTTCTTAAATCGAAATGCACAACAAATATTTAATTCAAACGTCAATCAGAAAACAAATGTACATGGTTAAATACTGACTTTCGAGTTAACTTGTGCGAGGTCAAATGAAGTCGAAGTATATAGAACAGATGGATTTACAGTTAAAAGTCAAGTGTTTTACTCACCAAACCGCAATTTCACTAAGATATTTAATAGCTGCATAGTCTTAAAACAGATACCATTTGCAATGTTGGCACTGCATTCCAAAGGTTAATAGCACCATCACAGAATTACTAAATTAATATGTTGAATCAGTTACAACTACGGACATTCTCACTGAAAAATACAAAAACTGATCACGGAAGAGCGGGTAGATGCCGTAATATTTATGAGCTATAAGATATATATATATATGATTGGTTGAAAATCAAATCTAAACAGTTCTTTATAGTAAGACATATGCTAAAGAACTTCAGATGAGAACAAATGACCAATAAATAAGAAACTTGAATCTAAGGTACTTTGAATAAATTGTTTTAAGCTACGGAATCCTTCACAAACAAATATATTTTGTGAGAAAATTTGTCAATAAAAGAGATACGCGGAATACTAATAAACTTTGGTAAACATATGGACTTTGTATTCAACAAAAAAACGTTAACGAGTTTGTTAAACCCAAACCTACTTTGAAAACACTATACTATCAAACCTCCCGCGATACAAAAGCTGAGGATGGAAGCAGTTAGTTTCTGCTGCAGAAGACTTTAAATCATCCAAGATATATTTTAGACTTTCGCAATATTTGGAAACATTTTCAGGTAGATTAGAAGGAAATTTGTCCTTTATAAGTCGTGCTTCTACACTGGAATGAACACTTTTTCCTAAAAGCTGAAGTTCTATTTAACAAAAACATCTGTCTAATGGTGTTTACCTCTCATGTACTCCTGAAACCCATCTTCGCCAAGTTCATTTTTCTTTTTATCCTGCCATTTTCGGAGTGCAATTGTACTTTCCAAGGGTGCTGTTTTACTTAGTATAGCGGACACTGTTGGGACATTACGAAAATCTGGCTGATTTCCGTCAATATGTTTACATGTGTTCCATGAATCAAAGATAGAAACTTTGTAAGGCTTGTTAGAAATAACAGCGAAGCCACGTCTAAAGATCTTAATGAAGCTACAACCCAATAATTAATTATAGTCCTAACTCACTATATTTGAACTCCCCCAATATTCATTCTGCTATAAAATTAATCGATTCAGATATCGGGTAAATTGAGCTAATTAACAAATCTTCAGATGTAAGCAAATATGTACAAATACCTAAAATATGAAAAGAATGATATCAGAATATTGAGAACCCGTAACATCAAACGTTGGTGAGATTTCGAGCGCTGCTTTTTTATCTTAACAAGCATATTATTCACTCCACCAAACCGCATTTCACGGATCATTTATAGAGATTGTTAACTATGTAAATAAAGCTAAGTAAATAACGGAACCAGAAACAGTATGATCGTTTGCCTCTTCCTACAACCTGAAATGGTATCAAGACATATAAAGTGATGATCTAACTAAATGCCTGCTAACAGTTTTCTACGACGATAGAAATAATCGTTAATCATATCAGTCACTTATTAATCGAGTGAATTTATCCAGCTTTGATCTAAACAGTTACTCACATTTAAAATGAGGGTAGGGATTCCAATTCCTTGTTGAGATCATTACGCGCACCTTCAGAGAAAATCAGTGAGTATACTCATCATCATGAAGCTCCAACTAATGAAAAAAAAATGTACGTGACACCAACTTTTGCTTCAAATATCGAGTATTCTGTTGACTTCTAGGTAAGTCATATTTTCGTACGCTTTAACCGATGTGACCAGTTCTTTACACTGTTCATCACATGTGTACTAATGAATGAGAATGAGTGTCTAAATAAAGCAAACACTGTAACCTTTTATTTGAAAAGTAAATTTCATAACTCTTGTCCCTTAATACTGTCCTTATCTCATTATGACAAACTGTATTTACATGGTATGGTTGTTTGAACTGATGAACATATATGTTAAGTTCTACCTTTTTTATGACTTACCGGCTTTATAAACCAGGTAATAAACACGACAAATTTTCAGGGGGATTTCATTCCCCTTTAAAACAAAAGGTTGGGGCTTTTAGTTTCCCACCCTTAGACGTTTCGGTATTGTATAAAAAGTAGTGAACACATTTTGGCATATCCTAATACGTATCCTTAACAATCCCTACTTGAGAATATGACTATCCAGTCTTCTGAATCTAAACATCTTGATTCGTCAGAGAAATTAGGTTACGCGACAACGATAAATCTTTACATAAAGCACATATTCTTCGGTATTAACATGAGTTACTCCAGTTTATTTAGAACAAGTTACAGGAATGAGTTCATATTATTAGAATAGTCACGCCATTATGCTATTTCTATTTATTGTCAGTCAGTCAGTCAGTAACAACGTAGAACTTCGTAAGTACGTGCATCAGTTCGAGTTGCCACACCACATTAGCACAGAGATGCAGTTGCCCACTGAGGAACTCCTGGAAAGTTTGTTGAGCCACTTCAAACCGAATTTAGCTTACACTGACTACTAGTAATATATATATTTTTTTTTCAGTCCGACCTGCTACGCAACACATCAGATTCCCAGTACTCCCTTCAGACTTTTTATTAGAAGAGAAACGAAGTAAGCGACTCAGATGGTTCTCCATGATGTACAGAATGTTGTAGGTCAAAATAAGCCTTCCTCTGAGTACCTTATATTCTACGGAATAAAGATAGAGTTTTAAGGAATTCCTGGCAGGGTTTTAGTTTGAGTTCATGAACTGATTCCATGTTTCATTTTAGAAGTATTTATATCCCTTTGGGGTGGATGAACTTACGTTCCCATTCTATAGGTCGCGTTAAGCGAAACCTAAAAACTGAATGGAAAGTACTATTATCAAGCTAATCAAAATCGCTGTTCAAAGTAATTGGTTACCTCTAAAGGATTTTTGTAACAGATAGAATATAACTCTATATCGCAAAAAAATGAAGACGTCTATATCTTTTTCAACAAACGAAACTTCTAGTGGGGAACTATTTAGGTTATACACGAAGTTCGAATCATGCCACAGATGTGCTTTTCACTTTACAGAATTAAAGGAAGTCCATGGTCGTTTACCCACCTTAGAGGTAAAGTCAGACACTCCTGAAGCGTTAGTTTATCCTTTTAGTCGTTAACTTCCCTTCAAAGATTCACATTAAGAAAAAGCAACACTCCAGAGGATACCTAGACGAATATCTTCGTTCTTGGGGAATCCTAAGTACAGAAAGATGGATAGTCCACTGTGACGTTGGATAGCATATTAGTTGACCATGACTAAAACCAGTCAAGCATTTTGATAGGTATCTACACAAGATAACTGATAAGACAAGTATGATCGACCCGGCCTCGAGGCTTCCAGAAGTCGAGAGACAGTACATCAGTGACGAAGCTGTGTTACATTAATAGAGTATTTTAATTGTTTCTAGATCAAGCAAAGAAGTGAGTTAGGTTGAGAAACAGAGTTAGTGTCTCGATTACGAACTGACATTAGCTACGACGCAAGCTTGCATCCTAGGATCCTAAAGTTCATATCTCAAGTACTAGTATGTTACGCAGTTCATACATCTTCACTTTCTCTAGATTCACAAAACAGATTAAGATTTTAGGGCGTCCTACTAAAGCTGTACAATATAGTAGGTAAGGTAATTACCTTACCCTTACGATCAAGGATCCTTGATCGTATATCGATATAGATCCGGTTATCTCTAGAGGTTAGTAGATTCGCGATGCAGTGAAGTTCAAAATTTATAACAATACTTTTTTTCAAATTCCGTACTAAAACCTTGATATTACAATCATGAACAAGATTATTTTAAAACCACGTGATTGCCTGGACACAGTAAACCACACATCAGATGGACGATTGCTGTGACCTTGAAGTCAAATGTTTGGCGTGACTACTAACAAATACTAACAAGTATTCCTAATAATTTATGTAACCACAAATCTAGGACCATATCTTTTCTTTATTTGAGATGAATTTAGCTTAATCATTGTTCTTTATGTGTACCAACTGTGAATAGACATTATTGACGAGCATATAGGATCGGTAAAATGTCACTAAGTCCATCAGATACACACACTACTGTCGATTTTAAAGTAAATTTCATTTAAGTCATTCGCTTTTCCGATTTATTGGCCATGGCTTTTGTTTCAAGATAAAAATATTCTTATATCATTTTGGGCAGCTGTACACTACATTGGACTCTTGGCCTGAAATATCATACAGTAATGCTATCGGATTTATACTTCACGTAATCAGTGTTGACTCTGAAGATGAACATTTGCTGATCGAGAAAGCTCCATTTTCGGTGGCTATGTCATAATGAGCTTTCAAGTAACATTTACATAACGGCTATTGTTGAAGATGGCACATGCATTCAGTGTTTGACAACGCTTCAACCAGTAACACCTTCTAATATGAAGCGTACACACCAAGAGAAATCAAAAGACAGAATCGAGGAGATCAGAAGTTGTATCTGACGATTTTCAATATATCGGAATTGTCTGATCTGGTCTAGCTAGCGATTTCAGCAGATGTTGAGCACAGCGTTCCCATTTGTGATCTGGTGCGGATGTATGAGGGAGCGCCTTCATCTAGATGAGTCCATCAAAATATATGTTCAGCATCCAATGTCGAAAACGTACAGAGCTATTTATCTTGGGGATTTATTTATCGCTACAGATCACTTCCTTCTAATGAAGTAGTGATGACCCTAAGACATGTCCAGCCAGAAGTTTAAACTCAACGAGTTTGTCGTTGGTAAACACTCTTCTGATAGCTTGCTAGGTTTACCAGCGTCTGGTCGTCTTTCCTTACTATAAGGGACCATAAAATACAGTGAGTAATAAACGTAATATACAATGAAATGTTTTGGTACCTCCTTAATCTCATCGTTCTTTTTACCGTCTTTTCCAGCCGTCCTGGAAAAGAAAAAAAGAATTTGTATGTGCATCTCGAAATAAACTCGCATGCGCCTCAACACACAAAGTGGGCGAAAAAGGGAAAATAGAGTAAAAGCGATTTCTACAAATTTTTTTTTAAAATTTATTTAATATACATATTAGCCAACTAATAAATATATATAAATATAAGCATATAAAAATTTTTTAATATTAGATATAATGCTATGGAAAATCGAGATGAAACAAAATGTTAACTAGTGTCTTACGTGCAATAGTCATTTAAATGTTCTGGAAATCTTACTCTTCTTCCAGAACGCGCTGTTTTAAATTTAGTTTCAGATACTGTCAATGTATCATCGTGCGTGTTGGTTGTCGAATGAGGTATTATTAGCGTCGGAGTCGTGTCGTTCGATTGTAACGAAGGAAAATCGACATGGATATGATCTCCTTCTAAATACGCTGCTTTGGGGCGATCGATGCTGATGCTATCGTTGGTTCCGTCCTTATCGATTATATAGTACTTAGGTTTGCGTTGAAGAACTTTGAAGGGTCCTTCGTATGCTGATTCAAAAGGTCGTCGATGCGAGTCTCGACGAATGAAAACGTGTGTACTATATCGTAAGTCAGGTTGAACGAAAACATCGGTTGATTGAGGTCAAGTGGAAACAGGTTTAACTGAACGCATTGCGTTTGTAAGCCTGTTCGTGTAGGAGGTTAGATCCATGTTCATTGAAGAAGATGAAGGATCCACGAATTCTCCTGGAAGTCGAAGTTTCGTTCCATAAACGAGTTGAGCCACAGTGTATCCAATGTCAGCTTCCACTGCATCGCGAATACCTAGTAAGGCGAGTGGAAGAGCGTCGGTCCGTTGTGAAACGTTTGCAGCTGATAGCGAAGCTTTAAGTTGTCGGTGAAAACGTTCTACCAACCCGTTTGCTTGTGGGTGGTAGGCAGTCGTTCGGAAGCGAGTGATTCCCAAAAGTGTAATCAGACAACGGAAAAGTTCAGACTCGAACTGACGTCCGCGGTCTGTAGTAATAGTTGAAGGACAGCCGAAGTTTGCTACCCATCGTTTGACGAAGGCGTGGGCCACTGTTTCAGCAGTGATGTCCTTGATAGGTACTGCTTCTGGCCATCGAGTGAAACGGTCTACTCAGGTTAAGAGATAAGAGTATCCATTTGAATCTGGTAAATGTCCTACCGAATCCAGATGAACATGGTCGAATCGAGCATCAGGAGTTCTAAATGGGCCTGAGGGACATTTATTGTGTCTGATGACCTTAGATTTTTGGCAGCTTACACAGGAGCGTGCCCACTCCCTCACGTCTTTATTCATGACAGGCCAGCAAAACCGTTCTGCTATAAGCTTGATGGTTGCACGAACACCTGGATGAGAAATTTTGTACAATGTATTGAAGACATTGCGTCGATAACGTTTCGGCACGATTGGGCGATACCTACCTGTAGATGTGTCACAAAGTAAGGTTTCTTACCTGTTTCCATCTGTATGATGCGCAGCTTGAGAGTTGTAGACGATAACTCGTGCTGAAGATCAGTGTCTACTTTTGAAGCTGGGCGAGTTTAAGAAGGTCGATTCCTTGGAAACTGTTCGAGAAAGTTATTTGAGACAAGGCGTCTGCGACTACTTTGTTTGCTCCAGAAATGTGTTGAATGTCCGGAGTAAACTGCGAAATGTAGTCCAGTTGTCGAGACTCACAGGGAGAGTACTTGTCAGAAGAATAGCTTAAAGAAAAGGTAAGCGGTTTATGGCCAGTGAAAAGGGTAAATTTGCGGCCTTCGATATAGTGTCGAAAATGCTGTACAGCACAATACACAGCTAGGAGTTCCCTACCGAATGTGCTACACCTCGATTCGGTGTCTAGCAACCGTCTAGAGAAAAATGCCAAAGGTTGCCAGGAGTTGTTAACCCATTGTTGTAAGACTCCTCCGATTGCTGAGTCGGATGCGTCTACCGCGATACTAATGGGTGCTTGAGTGTCTTGATGTGCAAGCATTGTTGCTTGATCGATGAGTTCCTTAGCTGTGGAGAATGCTTTTCGCGCGGTGTCGTCCAGCTTGACGGATTTCGCATTTTCACGTAGTTGGTCGGTTAGCGGTTTCATAAGTAACGCGCATTTCGGTATGAATCATCTATAGAAGCTTACAAGGCCGACAAACGTGCGTAATTGCTTGGTGGTGGTCGGTTCTGGGCAATCCAGAATGGCCGCCACATTTGTTCTTAGGGGTCGAATGCCTTGAGCACCTATAGTGTGTCCTAGGAAGTCTAACGAGTCAGTTCCGATTTGGCATTTCTGAATGTTTACAGTAATGCCATGTTTTTGTAGTCGGTTGAAAACAAGATCCAGATGCTTGAGATGCGATTCTTTGTCCGGACTTGCTATTGGACAGTCGTCAACATACGCATGTACGAAGTTGAGACCTCGAAAGACATCGTCTTTTAACCTTTGGAAGGTTTGTGCAGCGTTTCTTAGACCGAAAGGCACTCGCGAAAATTCGTAGAGTCCGAAGGGAGTTATGATAGCTGCTTTCGGAATGTCGTCAATGGTCATGGGAATTTGGTTATACGCTTTAACCAAGTCGATTTTCGGAAAGACAGTTGTACCTTTCAACGTAGCTGTCAAATCGTGAATGTGAGGCAACGAGTAACGATCGGGAATGGTTTTCGCATTCAATCGCCGATAGTCACCAGTTGAACGCCAATCGTTGCTGTCCTTTTTAGGGACCATGTGCAACGGAGATGCATATGGGCTATTTGACGGTCGTATGATTCCTAAGTCTATCATGTGGTCAAATTCATCACAAGTAAACATACTAGGTATTACGTACCTGTTGAATTCGTGCGGTATTGCCTTGACTACTGCGAGGAATTGTGTACGTGTGTCGTTCACGCCGTGCTAGTAGAAATCGGCTTCGATGTTGTCTGGCCGGAAGGGCATCAGTTGGAATGAAAGTGGGTACAAAGTCTTAAGCTTAAGTACTTTGGGTGTGTAGTGTCAGTTACTATGTTAAGCCCATATACTGTATTCTAACTTTCGGACATCACATTCTATTCATTCTACTTGAGTCATACTTTGACCTTGTTATTTATTCCCTTATCAATCTAGACTGTTTTTATATGAGCGTATATGTGTGTGCCCTTCTTATCCCATTAATCACATGTCTGTAGCTTTATTTTGTCTGACTATAAATATTGAGTAACGCTTGACTAAAAGGGAGTTGGCTTACCAGCCATCTCCACTGAGCATCATTTCTACTTGGCTTCACCGTGTGGCTGCTTGCTGTACGCTTGCGGATTTTTATTAATCACTAGCAATAAATTATCTCTACAACGGGTGTTCATGCTTCTGAATAATATCGAGTAAATCCGTAATTCTACTAGGAGATTAAGCCTACCTTAAATACTCGGCTTAACTCCGCCTGCAGTCCCTCTGGGGGCTATTGCCGGCCCCGAGCCCGGATAAAGGAGGAGGGTTGGGCATGGGGTTAGCGTCCCCATCCCGTAGAAAACCAACTCGCTAAAAAAACGCTAACTAGAAAAAATTATTCAAACCTTTTAAACTCTGCCCTGCGAGTCAGAAGGTCTTCATTTAGAAGAATTATGACGCCTCATGATGAAAGCCGAATTCCTTCGGAAGTTACGAGGCCGATGCCCCTTCTGACAACCGAGGCGACCATTTATTTAGGTACATGGAATGTTCGTACAGTGTGGGACACCGGAAGAGCCTTCCAAATTGCTGCAGAAATGAGAAGATACAACCTAGAGGTACTTGGGATCAGTGAAACACATTGGACACAAGTTGAACAATAACGACTAACTACATGAGAGCTCCTGTTGTACTCCGGCCATGAAGAAGAAAATGCGCCACATACACAAGGAGTTGCATTGATGCTGTACAAACAAGCACAAAATGCCCAAAATGCCCAACAAAGGACCTGACCATTCTGATGGGAGA